ATATTCATTAATTAAATTCTAAATATTATTTTAAAGGTTATTATTAATTATTGCAGGTATTTTTAATATTATATTATCATGATATTTTCATTCTGTAATAACGGTACGAAACACTATTTTGTACTGTACGAATAATGACTTGTATGATTTATTTGTAGCTTGTATGGTTAATTAACTAATATCACGTGATATTTTTCATTAATTTTGAATTTTACCTGGGTGATATATAATTGTGACAAATAATGTTTTAGATCTAAAAAAATTCTAAGTCTTTAAAAATATAATAAAAATTGAATGTTGGGGTGTGTTGAGGTGGTGATAATAAAATGTAACACCTTTAATTAATTTTCATATAACACAAACTCTAACCCCTAATTTTGACATAAATAGATAAAAATATATATTACAGGAGTTGGATTTATATTTAGTACTGTTTGACTTTTTAATATAAAAATACTTGTACTGTATGGTTTTTAACATAAAAAAGTTCATACAGTACAATTAGATTTTTATAATATATATGTTATTGTACGAATTTTGTACAAAAATTTATATAAAATCGTACAGTACAAAATAGCGTTTCATACTGTTGTTACTAGTCGACCTGTTGGGTGAAATAAAGTTCCAACAGGAGGTTTACAACTAGTAAACTTAAGCGATTCAAGTTAGATAACTAAATTATTAACCAAAAATAATTAAACTAATTTTAAGTATAAAGGATAAATTATAATTCCAAGGATTAAGTTAAATATATTCGTTGAATTTATTATTTGAAGATTCAATATAACCAAATAAAGTGTGTGGGAAAGTTTAAGACGAATAAGGTTTTATACTTTAATAGTTTATATTCAAAGAATATAAACTAACAAAGATTTACGGTAAATGTAATACAAAAAAGTTTATTAAAAAAAATGAAATTTAATATCCTATTAATTCAGGATATTTACAAGTATAAGAAATTTTAACTAATTTACTTTATTAGTTATTTTGATCTTCTCAATTTTTAAATCTTCAATCTCTGCTTTGAGTGAAAGGAAAACTCATCCTTTATATAACTAATAGTTTTGTCAGTGTTCCTGCCAGTGTTCTTGACAATGTTTCTGCCAATATTCTTGACAGTAATCTTGACACTGATCTTGACATTAATTTTGACAATATCTTTGACAGTAATCTTGACACTGATCTTGACATTAATTTTGACAATATCTTTGACAGTGTAACAGATCGTTACATTGATTGATCTACTTAGTGTAACATCTCTAATACAATATACTAATAATAATATAACTATATATAACTAAATAA